AACGGAAGAGACGATCCAATTTCCATTGGTCGTATCTTTTTCTTTCTTAGCATTTTTTTTTTTTTTTTAAAGAAAAAAAAAAAGAACAGCAAAAAGAAAAAAAAACGAACCAAAGTACTCCGTAAGAAATAGTCTATACGTGGGTTGGGCTCATTCAAAGATCCCATGTGCTTTACCGAGAGTTTTCCGTTCTTCTTCAACCAAAAAGAAAGAAAAAGAAGAAGAAGAAGAGGAGACGACGGACGGACGGACGGACGAACGGATCCCGTTTATTCCGAGCAACCGTATTCTCGTTCTTAATATTTCATCGGGAAACGACGCCGGCTTTGACCTCCTGGGCATCGTTTCATTCGAAATGCCACCGCATCGAAACGACCCAAAAGTAGTAGTCTGTCTGTCTCATGGCCTATGCGAAAAAAAAAAAAAAAGAAATAAAATTCGAATCTACCATTTTATTTCTTTTTACTGTTGTATACAAGTGAAACGAGTGTACGATCTTTTTTCACATCCCCCTAACTTCCCTATTTTATATATATATATATATATATATATATATATATATGTATGTATATATATAATACTTATTATAAGTGTATCCTTAATTTACCTGCATATCGTTTAAACACACACGGATATCTATCTCGTTTTAATTAAAACGCGAATACATTTCGAAGAGAAGGAGAATAAAAATAAGAGAAAAAAAGAAAAGAGAAAAGAAAAATAAAAACGAACGAGGTTACCTGAATGAAAAAGGAAGAGAAAAAAAGAACAAAAAAAAGAAAAAAAAAAAGAAAAAAGAAAAAAAAAAGAAAAAAAAGGAAAAGAGAGATCTAATATATGTGAATGTTCTTTTAAATGTAAATGCATGCTTTTCATTTTAATGCGACGAAAAATGGCGTAACGAGATATTTTCATAGGAAAAAAAAGAAAAAAAAAAAAATAAATAAATAAAAGAACACAAAAAATCCTTAAGTTGCAATAATATCTACAAACTTAGAACGATATTACGTATCGTCGCTCGTTCTTATTTACATAAACATTATTTAAATATTTAATATTCGAATTAGCGATAAAAGTATTTTTCCTTTTTTCCTATGGCCATTTATCAAAAAAAAAAAAAAAAAGAAAAAAATTGCTTTTAAAATGTTACGTTAACGTGCATACCGAAGGAAAATTATATATTTCGTATTTCGTATTTTCTATCAATTAAAAGTATTGATTTTCGGGTCGCGTGCCACCGCAGATGAACGTTAATTATGATAATCCTATAGATTGTTGTTCATCGGAGATACTGCGTTCACACGATATATACATATATATATATATATATATATATATATATATATATATATATACATAGGCTACGGTATGGTGAACGGCAGATAGGTGCACAACGGACAATAGAAATTTAGCGCGAATCTGTGATAATGGATGAAATTTAATCCAAGAGTAATGCTGGGATTAGCTTTTAAGAGTATACGGCTTATTCATAGGGATTTCTCGAGCTTGTGGTTAAATAACGAAATCACATTTCTATATTGTGGATCTACAAGGGTAGATCCTTTCAAATCCCAATAATCAAATAATTAATTCCAACTGGATTGATCGAATGATTCGAAGAAATAGAAAAAAAAAAGAAGAAAAAAAAAAAAAGAACGAACAAACAAACAAAAAGATTATAAAGGAACATAATGAAGAAGGATAATTTAATCTGATGATTATTCTCGATTGAAAAGTAAAAAAAGAAAAAAGAAAAAAAAATTTTTTAAAGTAATAAAGTTCATCAAGTGATTTTAATAATTTCTTTCTTTTCTTTTTTTTTTTTTTTGCTTTTCTTCTTCTTCTTCTTCTTCTTCTTCGTTATTTCAAGATCGTACAAAATTCAAGCCTACGGGTAAGAACTTTTTCTTTTTTCTTTTTCTTTTCTTCTTCTTTTGTCGCTTACAATCTAAAAGAAAAATGATAAGGATAAAGATTAACCTAGATAGTCCACGAAGACGTAAAAAGATAATCTAATTTATTCTTAATATCATCTATTAAATTACGACACGTTCTGTACAATATATTAATCAAAAATGTATATATAATCGTTTAATCATTTATAAGAAGAAAAAGTTCGATGCCATTTCGTATAATTAATATATTAATTAATGTATTCACCTATATATATATATATATATTTGAATCGTAAAAATAAAATTTCATAATTTCGAAAATTCCACGAAACGATTTCCTATTTGCCAATGATAAAAGAGAGAAAAAAAAAGAGAAAGAGAGAGAGAAAGAAAGAGAGAGAGAGAGAGAGAGAGAGAGAGAGAGAGAAAGAGAGAAAACGAGATTGTTAGAAAAATATATTAGAGAATATATTTTTTTCTCTATTTTGTTTGTTTATTTGTTTGTTCGTTCGTTCTTTTTTTTTTTTTTTTCTTTTTTTCTTTTTTAATGAAACCCGTCAATTTGTACGGTTATATCAGAATACGTAAAGTTACTACGTTAATAAACGTAGTCCTATGCATACTTTTATTTCACGGGCTGGCGTTCTTATACCGGCGACACTTCTTGATTCCACGGTCGTGCGTTTGCATCTCGTTATTATACGACTTTACATGTAAAGCAGGCACGTAGGTGGAGGAGAAGCTCTTTAGTAGGAGGATTAAACTTATACGAAGAGTCGACGAAATAAGAGTGCTTCTTTGCTTATTTAGCCCGGTATTGTACCTTATTGCAAGGAGTATCTCGAGGAGACATTTTATTTTTCTCTCTCTCTCTCTCTCTCTCTCTCTCTCTCCTTGTTTTCTTTTTTTCCTTTTTCTTTTTGTTTCGAGAAAAATTTAGTTTATTTTCCTCATCCGACCTAACTCTCGATAAAAACACAAAGGATGATTACCTTAGAAAAATGAGAGAGAGAGAGAGAGAGAGAGAGAGAGAGAGAGAGAGAGAGAGAGAGAGAAATAAAACGATAGAACGATAATTTAATCGAATATCTCATCGAAATAAAATCATAAATTCGTGAATACTTTTTATTCCACAGGATTAAGATTCCTACGTAACCAATTTCTTTTTTTCTTTTATTTTTTCTGTTTTCTTTTTCTTTTTTCTCTTTCCACAAGAAAATAGTTAAGAAGTCTACTCGACCGAGAAAAGAAGAAAGATTGATAAAGAAGGGGGAAAAGAAAGAAAATAGAAAGAAGAGAAAGAATTAAACAAAAAAAAGAAAAAAAAAAAAAAGAAAAAAAAACAAAAAAAAGAGAAACAAATTTCCTTCGTTATTCTTATTATCATTATCATCATCATCATTATCATCATCATCATCATCATCATTATTATTATTATTATTATTATTATTATTATTATTATTATTATTATTATTATTATTATTATTATTATTATTATCATTTTTCTTCTATCTTTCTCTTTTTCTTTTCCTTTCTTCTTTTTCACTTTTCGCATTCGGCGAAAATCTCAATGGCGGCGAATTGCGACGTAACGACGGATTTCATTCTGGCAAAGGCAGCTTGTCGTCTTTCAAGACTAGGAAGTACATCAGGATTGAGGATGACAGGTTAGCGCTTGTTCGCATATAAAACGAGCTAGTGAGAAAGAGAGAGAAAGAGAAAAGGAAAGAGATAGAGCTAGAAATAGAGAGAGAGAGTGAGAGAGAGAGAGAGAGAGAGAGAGAGAGAATAAAAAAGAAAAGGAAGAGATGGAAGAAGAGACGATCGAATCTCCTGAATTATTCGTCGGTTGAAACGCAATGGAGATCTTCTTCTCTGCAACCCAGGACTTTTCGCCCCGAAGCTCTGCACACCCGTCTAAACTCCACCTTTTTCCTTTTCTTCTCTTTACACCTACCTCCCCTCCCCTCCTCTTCCTTCTCTCCACCCCTTATTCCCACCTTCTCCTTTTGCTCTTTCCCTTTACTCTCTTTCTCCTTCAGGACACGTATAAACGAGAAGGTGGATTTATACCGTGTGGCCTACGTTGTTCGCACAGGAGAAACGACGATTCGAGTGTGACACGTGAATGGAGCTTGTCTTTTCTCTCTCTCTCTCTCTCTCTTTTCTGGTTGGCTGGCAGGTTGGTTGGTTGGTTGGTTGGCTGGCTGGCTGGCTGGCTGGCTGGCTGGATGGCTGGTTGGTTGGTTGGCTTGCTTTATCTCGGTTTCTACGATTCTCTTTCCGTATGTATATACGTATCCACATATGTATATATATATATATATATATTCGTATGTGTATTTTGTATGTATGCACAACTCGTCGAGGTAACGACGTATAACGACTTGACTCCTGTTCCTGAATTTTCGGGGTATGGAAAAGTCGTTAATGACGAACCAAGTAACTTCCCCTCACTGCCATTATCGAAGCAAAGTTGTGGTTTACTAAATTCTTGCGGTAGGTCGTCGTTTCTCGTCGTATTGTGTGCATAGACGTCTGTAGACACATACGTATGTATATACGTATATATACGTACGTATGTACGTACATATGAATGTATATATGTATGATATGTATGTGTGTATGTATGTCTGTAATTACATCATGTGGATATATATATATATATATATATATATATATATGTATATGTATATGTATATGCATATATGTGTTTGTCTTTTTGTGTGTGTGTATGTGTTCGTGTGTATACGTACGTACTCGTAGTAGTAGTGTGTTCCTAAGGGAAACAACACGTATTGTGGGAAACCGTTAAGGGATGCAGGTAATAGGAGAATTTACGTCGAAAGGGAAATAATTGACGAGCTTTAGAATTCTCTTCGTTTTCTCGATTGACTTTCACCAGAT